AAGCTGGTAGATAAGCTTAGAAGTTTTTATGCAGGCCCCTACATTTGAACCCTAAGGTTCAAAGTGGGGATCCAGCCTTGACAGGAGGTTTGCAGAAGTCAGCTCCAGCCCGGGCGCTCGGTGCAGAGCCCGAGATGTGCGGCTGCAACGCCAGACGGGGCACAGCGTTCTTGCCGCACAGCCCAGCTGCTGCTTCAGTTCCCGGCTAGTGATCAAATGATACCGCGCTTTGCTCCTCAGGTGAGTCTGCATGGCTGAATCGGGTCTGATCTGGGGCAGGTGGGAAGTTCATTAAACTAAGTGCCTGCTTAAGCAGGAGGTTTCCAGGATTTTGAGGGCAAACAGCGCCCCCCCAAATTGCCAGCAGGACCCCCCCGACCCGTGAATTCCTGCACCTCTCACCTTCAAACCTCCCAGAGAAGCTGTCCGTGGCTCTGCATCGTTTCTTCTTCTTGTTCCTTTTCTTGGTATCCGGGATATCGATGGGCTGACTTGAAGGCATGTCTGTCCCAAAGACAAGCCATGCAGAAAGCATTAACACCACACCAGCGTCCATACAGCGCAGCCCTCATCTCCTGTATACGCCCTCTGGATTCAGGTATGGATTAGCCACACAGGACCCAACATAGTGTCCTTGATTTACACTTTATACGATCAGATGTGACCCTACTTCCCAGGTGCCTTCACCGCAAAGCGAACAAGGCAATGGTATGAGAGAACAGTTCAGGGACTGAGCAGAGAGGTTTGGGGAGAGGATCCCTGAAGGACGTGAGTTTTACTGGGAAGGAAAGTGGGCTCCTAGCAAACAGGAGATGAGGCCTAAGCTTGGGACAGATTTTGGAAGGTGTGTCAGTCTTCCAGACACGCGTCTGAGCTAGTAAGCAGCCCCGTTGGCTTCAGGGAGGCGACACACATCACGTGCTTAAAGTCATACACGTGCTGAAGTACTGCCCTGCATCAGAGCTGCTGGGGACGGTATTTCTACCACCAGCAGCCGCCACCGACCTGGCATCTGAAGGCTGTTTTCAAGAGGGAGGAGGGTGAATTTTCGTGGTCATTTTCCCCGAGGGAGGGTGGAGGGGAGAATGGGGAGAAAGAACCAACATTCAACAGTCTTCATCCCTCCCCAACCCGGGTATTAAAAAGTCAGGTGCAGTCTGCAGAGCTCACCGGGGCGGGGCGGGCACTCAAAGTTGAAGACAGAATCCAGGTGAGTTGACTGGGAGAATTCCAGGTCGAATGGGTTCTGGCCCTGGAGGTTCAGAACAGAGGAGAACAGGGTGAGTCACACACGAACAGGCTGGTAGCCGCCGAGGGTCTCCACGCCACTTATCCTAGGTCTCGACATCCCGCTCTGCTGCCCTGGAATACCTTCATCCCAGCCTGTCAGCCAGCTAACGCCAGTCCCACGGAGCCGGTTGTGGCTCCACCAGCCAGGCTTGGGTTCCCCCCAAGGGAATCCCACCAACACACCTCGCTGCATACTAGGAATCGCAGTCACACAAAGTCCCCTTCGCTTCCACCCCGGAACAGCTCATTTTTATACCCTTACACGCGGGCCTAGAGAAAAAACCTCCTCAGAAATAGCCTTCCCAGAGACAGTGGCTAGTTTGCGGGAGGGACAACTTAATACCTAACACCACCTAACCAGAGCTGCAACATACACAGGGTCAGCCCCACAGGGTCCCCAACAATTGAGATGGGTCAAAGTTACTCATTTCTGGAACAGAGAATGGGCCCTTCAAGGAGAACATTCCCCCATAGCTGGCAGTCTCTGCTCATTAAGATGAACCCAAGCAGAAAGCTGGCTCCCTGTCCCTCACTTCCCAGCTGGAACGCAGAAGCCCAGGCAGGATGGAAGTGCCCAGTCCCTGGCTCCGGTGGTGGAGTGACTCAGAGGATCGTTGGAAGCGGGACAAGGAGCTGTCTGGCACACCCAGCAGGTCACTTGTTTGAGGGGAGGCTCTGGAGTCACGGTTAGGCCGGTCGATCCAGAGCTTGGCGATACGGAAAGGGGATGGGGGCAGTTTGGACCAAACCAGAGAGAAGAAATCCCTAGTTCTCCCCGAGCTGTGGTAAGAACAAAGCCAGCTGCTCCCACCTTCAATTGGCAGAGGCAGCTAACACCACAGCCATTGCGGGGGAGGGATAGCTCAGTGGTTTGAGCATTGGCCTGCTAAACCCAGGGTTGCGAGTTCAATCCTTGAGCATGCCATTTAGGGAACTGGGGTAAAAATCTATCTGGGGATTGGTCCTGCTTTGAGCAGGGGGTTGGACTAGATGACCTCCTGAGGTCCCTTCCAACCTTGATATTCTATGATTCTATGATCTCCATGGTAGTCATCCAGGATCTCAATATGCTTTACATTCAGCCTCAACACCCCCCCCCCCCAGGGAGGCAGTTTTCTACCCACTTTACAGAGGGGTAAACTGAGGCACAGATTCCATTGCCCACTCACCCCACGGTCAGACAGCAAGTGAGCAGCAGAGCTAGGCCCAGGAGTCCTGCCTCCCAATCGCTGGGCCCACCCAGCCCCTCACCCCACCCACCCAGCATTTCACAAACCCCGGAGCGAGTGGCTGTTTTACGTAGCAACAGCCTCGATGCCAGTAAGAAGGTGCAAAAACAGAGCATGACTGGTATGCCACATGACCCTGACCTGCCATCAGCTCCCAGGTGAGCAGGGGCTGGCACTGCAACTATGCCAGAGAAGCAGGAATACACATTTCTAAGGGAGCGCCAGGTGAGGCAACCTGGGCTGATTGGGTGTCAACCTAAACCATCCCACTGCCAGGACCAGCTACAGGCTGGGCGGTTCCTTCTCCCTCAGCCCATTCCCCTGCGGCCTGCGCATTCATGACTCACACCTCCTCAGAGCGAGGGACCCATTATTCACCTGACTGGCTCAGGGAAGCCCGAGCCGCAGCAGCCGGTGCTGGAGAGCTCGGTCCAGCCATCCCAGCCAGGGCCGTCACCCAGCACTCCCCCCAAGACGGTTCCCCCCCAGTCTCTAGCACAGGGTGGGGGAAGGGGTAAGCATGAGTTTGCAGGGCACGGGACGGTGCCAGGTGGCAGCTGAATTGGGGTCACTCAGAGCGGAGGGAGGTTTGCACGAAGCACGGGATTGGGTGCTGGAGAGGCGTACACGTGCCTGAGAACGCTTTGCTACTGTTCTTAATGCAACTTGCAGTAAGGAGCTCTGGGTGGGACTAAGGGGATGTCTACATCTAAAACACCTGCGAGGGGGAAGGGTCCTGGAGCCGGCACGGACGTCTACATGCTATTTTACAGCTGACAGGCCAGCGGTGGGGGTTTAATTCCTGTGTAGAACACCCTGAGACATCAGTCCAGCCTCTGAACCCCGGAGCGGCAGGATGGGGACAAACTGGCCAGACTAGTTGAATGCTTGAGCCGGCAAGTCATGGACAGGAGCAGAAAGGGGACAGGGCCCTGGGTCACTGTGCTAGGATTGTGCTTTCAGAGACCTGGAAGCCACTCCCATTTTAGGTCCCAAAGCAACAAAAATTGGTCCAGATGCAACCAGGAGGTGGGGACAGGCAGCATGGCCTGCTGGGCTGGGACTTAGGAGCCGGGTTCTATTCCCACCTCTACCAGTTGCCTGCTGGGTGGCCTTGAGCAAGTCACTTCACCTCTCTGTGCCTCAACTTCCCCGTCCGTAAAATGGGGATAATGATACTGCCCTCCTTTGAAAAGTGCTTGGCGATAACCAATTAAAAGTGCTGTACACGAGCGTGGCATCATTTTTTGTCCCCCATCACCAAACTGATGCATGACTGGCAGAGCAGAGTGTTCACGGGTGGAGTTAGAAGTCACCAGTGAAATGCACTGCTAGCACTAGAAAAGGCACATGTACAGTGCTGACAACCAGCCTTGGGTCTTTATCTGGGAGATTCACCCAGATCCAGAACAGCCAAGCAGGCTCCTGCCTTGAATTAGGGGACGGCCTATATAGGACAGTTGGGGCCTATTTTCCCTTCTATATCTGACTCATGGGGGGGGGGGGATAGTGAGGGAAATCACATCACTGCTCTGTGCCTCAGTTTCCCTAATTGTAACATGGAGCGAACACTCAGATCCCTGCATGGGAAGCACTAAGAAAGAAGTGTTATAAGCTAAAGATCCAGGACACTCCCCTCCCCCCAAGAAAGCTCATTAACCAAAGTACAAGCCTTCCCCCGGTTATGAAATGTGTTTGGGTGGAGGTGGAATTCTCCCTGAATTAAAAACAAACCACACACGCCCCACTGCCATGCCTGCTAGGAGGGGAGCCAGGCCGTATCAGATGAACAGCTGCCCCTGCAGCCAACCAGCAGGGCTTGGCACAAGCGTCCCTAACGGCTAGAAACAGCTAGAAAGCAGTGTTTACTTTGTCTCCTGGTGGAAGGCCAGCCCAAATGCATTCAGCAGCACGGCCCGAAAGGGGACGATTCAGAACCCCTAGAATCCGGGACACTTTGCAGGCAAGCATCTGCAGGAGATTGTGTGTCTTTTTAGCTGTAAGAAGAGCTCCTGGGTTTGTCAGTGCAAGAATCAACATTTTGCAGGCGCAACACAGCCAAAGGAACCCATTTTTACCGTGCCCCTTATTACCCAATGTCACCCAGAGCCAGCAGCTTTCTAATCATTAGAAGAGACTCTGTCGCAAGGCATGCTAAACACCAGAAGTACAGGGTCTCTGGAATGTCTCTCTGTTCTAGAGAGCACCTAAGCATTTCCCTTTCCTCTCCTTTTTTTCCTCCCCCACACTATTTTCTTTTTCCACTTAGATGTTTTGTGACCAACCCACTAACTCCACATCCTCTCCCATTTTTTACCCAGCAACAGGTTTATTATGGAATGAGGCGGTTACGTAACAGCACCCCCACCACGAGACAAAACAGAAGTTACATCACCCTGCAATGGGCACTGCTCCAGGAGCCAGTTATGCACAGGGGAGGGGGGGGGGAAATAACCCCAACAAATCACCCAATGCCTCGAGTGCCGAGCGCCCTCAACAGCATGACTCGAGGGTCGCTCAGCATCTGGCAAGATGGGGCCTTAAATGTGAAAGAAGGAGAGGGTCGAACAAATGAGACCATTCATGGAGTCTTTCAACTCCCTACGCCAGCTGCCATATCCTGAATCCACAACATGCAGACACATACAAGAGAACTAGGCTGTTACGGCAGCCCTGCTGGCTGGTTCAGTGCCACGGACTAATTCTGTTCTAATCAGCGCTATTTAAGAGAGATTTAGCCCCAAGATAAAAGCCGCTGCTGGCCTAAAAACCTTCAACCAAGATTAGGGGACAGTTGGAGTAAGTTATTATTTTGGGGAAAGTTCTCTGGCCTGCGTTCTACAAGAGGTCAGACTACATGATCATGATGGTCCCTTCTGGCCAGAGAATCTAAGACACAAGCCTCACAGTAGCGACCTTCAGAAATAGGGAGTCATGCACAGACAAGACATTTACCATAGGGAAAAAAAAAAATCCCACTAAACCCGAATCCTCCTTATGGGCCCTGATCCGAGAGAGAACTGAAGACACAGCAAGAAAAAGGACGCTCATAACTGGGTGTTGGTGGAGTCAGGGAGAGCTCAGTCATAACTGGGAGCCTTACAGGAGAGGAGGAGGTGCAGCAGCTGGGCAGAGCCCAGCCTTGGGGAAAGTGTCTGTTTCATAGCAGGCTGCCTCCTGCCTGCCAGGGCTGGGACCTGGCCCAGTCCATGGAACAATCCCATGAGGCTGCAGTAAACCGAGGCTCCCAGGGACGTTCATCGTGGATTTCAGAAAGTTGGGTGGCAGGATCCCAAGAGCAGTAGACAAGGCTATTTTGACATCCCCTTGGGTGTCCCACCAGTGCCAAAGAGGTTTCTTCCATGTAAATGCACTGGAGGCTGTGCTCAGCGACCCCATGCAAAACTCACTGAAATCAGCAGGACGGGGGGGGGGGGTAACAGCAATATTCAGTCCATCCCGCTAATTCTTCCGAGGTAGAAGCTTGCACAACACCAAGACAGCTCCCAGCAGAGCACCCTGCCACTCTGCCGGTAGAACCAACGCTCTTATTGCCCTACACCGTGGCCACACAATTGACAACAACTACTTACAGTTCAAAACGCCAGCTCACCGAGAGAGACAGACAGAGACGAGACAGACAGACAGAGACGGAAGATCCTAATCCACAGTGCTGCTCTGGTTATTTCAAGAACAAGAGTCTTTAACGTTTGAAGATTTATTCCACCATTTTTCAAACCCTCAATCCATCGTTGAGAGTTAGACCCAGGGCAGACATGGACCTAATAGAGGCATCTGGTGAAATCCCCCCCCAATCAGGTCAATTCCCCACATCCAGGAAGCCAGGTATCTATACCACACTCGTCAAATCAGCAATGGAGGCCAAGCACCTTCCAACAGGAAATCTCCTAGATAATGTTTTTTCTTTCTTCCCATCCCCTTTATCCTGAGTATGTAGCAGGAGATTTTTATTTATTTTTTTAATATTAACATGGTCAGGAGTTTATTAAGGCAGATTTGCAAAACCACTGAATGAATTTAGGAGAAGGCAACCCACTGACTCTCAATGGGACTTGTGCACCTAAATGCCTTCAGTGCTTTCAAAACATCTCTAACCCTCATTTTCAGATAACAAGAAGGACTTGTATTTCCTTTGGGTGGTTTTTGGGGTAGCAGAAGTCATGTGATAGTTGCAACACTAACAAGGAAGTCCACCCACTGTGGATAGGTGAAGCAATACTCCAATATACACTGATTTCAAGCTACTGAGCTGTTAGGACTAGGTAGCTATTCTGGGCCCTGATCAGCCAATGCTTAGTGACCTCTTGGCAGGGTCCCAGAGCTCCAACCGTCTACACTACAATTTTACAGCTCCTCAGCCCCAGCTCATCAAGCCTGGGCCGGCTGCGGGTGTTTAATTGCTGTGTAGACATAACCACGGAGGTCTGATTGGCGGAGCTACCGAGCACCCGTAACTCCAACAGAGATCAACTCTTTGCACCTCCTGCAAATCAGCCCACTGTTTTCTGTTTGACATCTATTTCTCCATATGGAGACACATTCCAGTTCGGTCATTTGTTCCTTAAATCTGCAAGAATCTAAGATTAAAAAGCCTTTGAGCGAACAATGAACGTGAACGTCCACTACTTCACTGGTTATTCGTATATTAATGTCTCTGCTGTTCTTTTAAGCTGTAAAAGCACCACGTAGTCTACCTTATTACCTAAAGAACTAGTCTTAATAAGAGACAAAAATAGGATTGCCCTAGACAGTTTCTAATACTCCAAGGGTTCCCATCTACTATTGGTTCCAGAGGCCCAGCATGCATTTTTTGTACAAGACAAATTTCCTCTTGATTTCCAAGGATCCACACCCAAATTGCAAAGTCGCCTCCACAATTTACAGTCACACCATGACAAAATAAGAACAAAAATAGTGTCCAACTTTGATGTAAACAAACCAAAAATCAATTGACAAGTCAATTCAAACAAACAAACCAAACAAAACCAACAACAGAGGCTTAAATGCAAAGCAAAAGAAAGAACTTTGTAAGGTTTACCTTGAAAGAACGATGGAAACCTTTGATTTCGGTTTTCTTCTGCACCATTTTGTTGAGATTTTTTGACCAAAACAAGTGGGGAAG